ATCTCGACGGATATCCATATCAAATGCACGGAATGCTTGCATGATGTGCGCATTTGTTTACAGGCGAGTACATGGTCGTGCTCGTGCCGGCGACAGCCTTGCACCGCCTGCCTTTCCTTCCTCAGCTCACTCTGGGTGCTTGCATCGGCATTTGCAGTGCTTCTCTTCCGCCGTCGAATTTGGAGCACATCTGAAAACACATCGCTATGCGGTGGCAGTAAGTTGAACATAGGCATTGCACCGGCACACACACACACACACACACACACACACACACACACACACACACACACACACACACACACACACACACACACCAATTCTCCTGACCATGATTGTTCTCACTCGGGCCAACTACTCCGACTCGTGCTGTATTGACAGAACAGCAAGCAGAAGGCCCTCTTTGCCCCGTCATGGTCCTCCAAGGAGGAAATCGCTCTGATGCAGGCTCTCGAGTTCTCTGGCTTTGGCAACTGGAGCGCTGTTGCTGACCATGTCGGCAACGGGCGGTCCCCTGAAGGTAGGGTCTTGCCGCTCGGACCGTCTGCATCTAGAGCCTTCGATTTTAACTAGAGCCCTACAGTGACAATGGCGCGAGTCGATGTTGATACCCACCCGCTTGGCCTGGCCCGCGCATCAAAGCTCACCAAAACATCTCTTTGGATTGCTTCTCACTGCCGTGCATCACATAGAGTGCCGACAGCACTACTATCGTTGTTATATCGACACACCCAACAAGAAACTCCTTCCAGGTTGGCCCTGCACCGAGCCCTGTAGCTTGAGGGTGTCTCTCTGGCCGACCACGCTCACACTTTTGCAATCCGTTGTTCCGTCTATGCAGTGCCGTTGGCCCAGCGGACTGACAGTGCCGCTCGCATTGAGCCCGATGAAGAGGACCTGGAGGTCCCCGACACCACCTGTACGTCACCTTGCTGCGACACTGAGACATGCAGGCAGGAGCAAACCTCTGATCGCTGATTTTTGCTTTGTAATCGTTGGTTGGTCAATAGCGGAACATCTGGATCCAAAATATCGTCCCAAGCTCTCCGCAGATTTTGGTGGCTTTAGCCCAATCCGCCTGGACTATGAATTGGTACGATGACAAGCGTGGGATCTGTCGCGCGCAGAGCTGGTGGTGGCTGTTCTGTGGGTTGATCACCCCTGACCCACCCATCGGCATTGACATCTGATAGGAGGCCTTGCCCGATGCGGAGAACCTGATTGCTGACGTGACGCTGCACGACGATGATACCGGCCCTGTGCGGAAGCTCAAGTTGGCTCTTTTGGCTGCATACGCCAAGCGTTTACGGCACCGGTACGCGGGCTGAATCCTCTGGGCTTGTGGCGTAGAACATGCGACCACTGGCTTTTCAGAACCGCTTCTAACGTGTTTGTTGTTTTTATTGTCCTCGACATCTTATCGGGATTGGACACGGCCTATAGTTTTGAATGTCATCGCGTGGCCCAGGAATACGGTTTGTGCCATGCCAAAAGCATTGATCGAGGTAAGTGACTGGGTGATTGGGAGGTATCAGCACCCGACGTTCCGCTCTTGATAGAGAAGACAAGGCACCCGTTTCCCTTGCTGATTTGACTCACGTGCCGGCGATCTTTCAGAATGCATGGAAAGTGCGACGCTGTCACGCATATGCCATCGCCTCCGGCCATTTGCCCGCTTCCATTCGTACGTGATTGTCGTGGGCTTCGCTTGGACTGACGTGGCTCCTTCGGACTCTTGCGCGACCAATTTGACGCCTTGTCTCTCTTAACTCAGGGCAATCGACCACAAAAATCTGCTCCGGTCTTTCCAGCGGCGCGCCCACTTCCGCCATCAGATTTTGAAGCTTCAAAGATTTCGACAAGTGGGCTGCCGCACGGCCGAGGACTGCCAGAACGTTGATCCCCAGTCCGACGCGACGGTTTGTGCCTCGGAATCAAGGAGGTGCTGCCATGTATTACTCGCTCCTCCAATGGCAAAACTTTAACGGCTTCTGTCGCTGCTCTAGGCATTGGACGGACCTAACCGTAAGACGGTGCGCCAAGCACATTGGCAGCGTTTGCCCTACGGGCATGACCTCAGCAAAGCGGAATTGTCGGTGCGTTGTGACGCTATTGCGTACCTGATCGCCGAGAAACTTGTAAGAACCCTGTCTCAGCTCCACATGACCGCCACCTTAGCTTTGTCAACGTTTGATGCTCCTACCATCAATCTACGCCTCACTCAAGCGAGCGCGGGTTTTGGGTACCCCGTTGAAGGTGCGTTCAGCCCGTATTTATCGTTATTTCCACATGAACCCACCCATTCCTCACCATGTCTATTGTGTTGTGGCTCATCTGTTGGCTACCAGGACGGAATTAAACTCGATAAAGAGAAGCTACTGCAGGTGGACTCGTTCTTTCAACAGCAAGGCTGGTGAAGCTGACACGCCTTGATTGCTACAGATGACGTGAATACAAGCCAGCTGTCCTCGTGTCTTCCTTCTGCCGTTCTTTCTCTCTTGCTCTCTGCTTGTTTATCGCGCGTGATGGTGTGGTGGTGCGAAGGATAAATGCGAGTAATTGATCAACTAAAAAAAATTATAACAGCACGGAAAACTGATGGTTGATGGGCTCCATAAAAACGAGACGGCGTCGCTATAGTCGTAAAGCAGGACGAGTAAAAGGCAACGCAAAGGAGAAGAAAAGGAAACAGGTAAATCAAAATGCTGGTGACAAAGGGGACGTAGGCTCGGCGCCGCGAACCAAAACTAACTGGTGATCGGAAAAACGGCTCTGAAACCCTGCCGTGCTCAGCACGGCAGGCTCGTCGGGCATATCAAGCCCAGACAAGAGACAGAGCGCGCGCGCGCTCGATCAAGTGGGGTAGACGAAAACATCGAAAACAAGAACAAGAAGGAAACAAACAGCGTCAATGACGGCAATGTGTAGGTGAGGATTTCACCCACAAAAGCACTCATATACTCACGCGGTACTCTTGGCGCAAGAAGCCCAGCAAGGAGCGGGCAAACGTGCAGCGAAGCAAGGAAAGCCTCGAGCACAAAGCCAAAAGACAGGGGAAACGGAGGTCAAAAAAAAAAGGAAGAAAGAAAACAAGTATAGCAAGATCGAGCAACTGGGCTCGGAATAAAATGCACTGTCGTCAGACGATAGGCGGTGGGTCTAAGCAAGACACGGATCACCCAAGCACACACACAAACCAAAAGAGAGACAGAGAGAGAGACAGAGAGAGACAGAGAGAGACAGAGAGAGATAATCAAAAGGGGGGAAGAAGGGTGGCAAGCACACCGAAGCTGGTGCAAATTCGTTCACCCACATCAAAGAGATTTGCAAATAATGTGATGGCGAAAAGGATACCAAGAACGAAAGAGCAGTTGGTCATGCCAGGGGCGCGGGCTTCACAGGCCCTGTGCCAGCTTGAGCTTGTCCAGCACGTCAACCGAGTCGCAATGGCACGAGACACACGTGATGGAGCTGCTGTGGCCAGAGGGCACATACTAAAAAAAAAAAAAAAAAAAAAAAGATTTGAACATGAGTGCAAACTGAAAGCAAGTCAATAAAAAGACACTAGGAAACCATCTGAGGCGCTTCAATGAGTGTGAGCAAAAGGAGTAGGGACGTACATGGCAGGTAGAGCAGATCCGATTGTGGGATTTGAGCCGCAGGGCACAAGCGTTGCAGAGGGTCAAAACGATGGCGTCGCGTTGGCGGACGTGGCGAAACTGAGGCGTATCTCCCTTTTTACAGGAACCACAGATGCGAGGAGCACCACGCTGGCCTTGAGTCGCAGCATGACGCGAGACGGGAAGATCGCTGCGATGACTGGCGGCCACGTCCGCCTGAGCTTGAGCTTGAGCTTGGGCTTGGGCTTGGGCTTGGGCTTGGGCTTGGGCTTGGGCTTGGGCTTGGGCTTGGGCTTGAGCTTGGGCTTGGGCTTGAGCTTGGGCTTGAGCTTGAGCTTGGGCTTGAGCTTGGGCTTGGGCTTGAGCGGCCACGTGTGCCAGTGTCATCATGCTGAACAGCGGTTGTGCAACGTCGCTCGACATGACAAAGCGATTCTCGTGGGCATGCTCTTGAAGAACGGCATTTTTATTGCCAAAGGCGTTGAAGGGCAGAGGCTACACAACAAGCAAGGAAAGGCATGGTCGTGAGTTTCAAGTGGCAGAAAGGGTCTGTGCAAGTGTGGAGGAAACACGGGTTTGTATCGCTGAGCACAGTACCTGGCGCCAGGCCATTTGTTCTTCACGGGTGGCAGCGGGGCTGTCATTCGCAAAGATAGCCATGACCTCGGGGTCTTCGCCATGGAGGGAATCATTTGAGTGGGCTGAGAGCATGTTAGTGGTGATGCTGCTGCTGCTGCTGCGAGCTGGCGTGTATCAGGCAGTTGTCTGTTCCATGGGCAAGCGAAGAGGAGATGCAGTGGTGAGATGATCAAAGACAAGACACAAAGCGTCGAAGAGAGGGAGCGAGAGAGAGGGTGCGGGGAGCTTGGACTGGCACCATGAAGACGAAAGGCAAGAGACAACAACCCAAGGGAGGAAACGATGGGGGAAACCATTGGAAGCTGGTGCATCACAAGCAAGGCGGAGATGGATGTGTTGGAGATGGACAAACGAGGCGAATGTGGCAAGAGGTTGGGGCACATTCATTGGTACGCCTTTTCCTTGTGTTCCGGTGAGATGTGTTCTGCGCACAAAAGAATGTGTGATTCCATCTTCGTGCATGGGAAGGAGGTGGGATGGGCAAGCGCTGCCCGGTCGTGCGCGCCCGGCAGCTGAGGGAGAAGACCCGATGGCGACTCGTGCTGGGACGCATGCGAACCAGTCCCCAATAGCCGAGGGGCCGGTCAGTTTGACAGGAAACGATGCGGCGCTTGATGTTGTTGTCGTGTTGTGTGTGGGGGGTGGTCTGAGTCAATGTGTATTGGTGGGCAGAAAGGACCGCCTTTGATGGCGAGCCCGATGGCATGGTGCAAACCAAGGAAGCAGAGCAAACCCAGGAGACGCAGAAGCTGGCGAGTGTGTGTTGGGCAGGGCGGGGTGTCCTGGTCGACTTTGTAAACGGGGGCAGCCCTTGACCAAGCAGAGGAGCAAGGGTCGACACTCACCTCTTTCTTTCTTGTTCGGGGGTTGCTTGTGAGATGCGCCAGGCGGAAACAAACGACAGCGGGCGGACCGGCTTTGAACATGTAATGGCACCCAGGTGCGTCTGTGATGAATGTATGGGAAGGGCGCAACACCAAGCACGCACGTTGCGGCGGCTGCGGGGCGAGAGGCGGAGGAGGAGGAAGGAGCAATGAACGTGACCCGGCGGTCACGGCCTGAGAGCGCGCGCGCGAGACACTTTTGTGTGGAAGAAAAATAGACACCAAAAAGCCAAGCGGTGTGTGCGAGAGCGAGAGCACAGTGCACATACGTGTGTGTGTGGTGTGGGTGTGATATGTGTGATACGTGTGAAGAGCAAAAAGGAGGTTGTGTAAGATTGTGTGGGGTAGCCGTAGATCTTGCTTTACTGGGGTTATGAGGGTTGTTTGGGGCGCGCTTGATGCCTTTTTTTCCAGATGGTAGACAAAGGTGGTGAGGTAGATTGGTTAGATGGGTGATGTCAAGCCGTTTGGGTTGAAAGGATGTGTGTGTGGATGTTTTGCGTGCGTGGGCACATGTGGGTATATGTTGGTGTTTTGCCGTGGAGGGGGGGGGTTGCAGGTGCGGTAAGAGATGGCGCCAGGGACAGTGGGGAGATATGGGGGGGGGGTAGGACCCTTTGCGGCAACGGCAACACACGGTTGGGTTTGGGGCCGGCTAGGCATGTGCACAGTAGCGTGGGGTGGGAGTGGAAGGGTGGATGGTGACAGAAGCAAGATGTCGCCATCAAAGAGTAGGGATCTGGGACGGTCTCGAAACCAGGCTGATGGTGCGGATGTGCGTTGGTCTTGCGTGGGAAAACGCGTTCCAGCCTGTCCAAGGCGCTGAGAAAACGACAGACGTCTGTGTGTGTCTGTTTTTGTCTGTGCCTGCGTCTGTGTCTGTGTCTGCTTGTGTCTGTATCTGTGTCTGTGTCTGTGTCTGTCTCTGTCTGTCTGTCTGTCTGTCTCTGTCTGTCTGTCTCTGTCTGTCTGTCTGTCTGTCTCTGTCTGTCTGTCTGTCTGTCTCTGTCTGTCTCTGTCTGTCTGTCTGTCTGTCTCTGTCTGTCTGTCTCTGTCTGTCTGTCTCTGTCTGTCTGTTTATGCGATGCAGTGTGATGAGCGGATGAGTAGAAGACAGCAATCAGATGACTTGATCAGATTGTTTTGTTGTTAGCTGAATAGCAATGCAGCCTTTCCCCAAACAGATGGGAACAGAGTTTTGCAGTGAGAGAACGCGCCACATTGGCATCAGCGCTTGACAATGACGATACCATCTGTACGAATCAAAATGAATCCATCTGACAATCAACATGTTGATGGTAAGCACCGTTGTTTTTTTCCGAAAGAAGTGTATTGTGGCGCATCATGTCCTATCTTCCCGGACAAAATACTGGAAGATGCGTCGGCATGATAGATGCTCAAAAAGATGGTTGGGAAAGATGACCGTCGTCATCCTTGTGGGCGGTGCCAAGTGGTGGTGTGCGGACTAGTGCGGACTGGCGTGGCATGAGGTCAGTTGGGAATCGTTTCTGCCGAAGTGCGAAATGGTGTCTGTGACTTGAGGCTGGGACATCACCCACACATACACGTGGAAGTACGCTCAACCCTGAAAGACAAACTAGCCATGTTCGCCTTGTCCAAGCGGCGCTCGAGAGCTCAGGGCAACCGCGGAAAAGGTCGAAGAGCATCGGCCCTGTCGGAGTGCTGCATGATGATTCCCCACTGCCTTTCAAGTAGAAGTGGTAGACCGCAGCGTCAGTCGCACGAGGGGGCGACTGTGATACTTTGGGGCCATTCCGCTTGGACGGCTGTAGAGAGAATCATCAGAAATTGAACACGGATCAAGGGTTGTTGTGGGTTTTGTCCGACCGACTCCGAGCCGAACCGAGCGAGATACCTAACAGTCCGCTGCACTCGGTGACGTCATTCATCCGGACCTTGACCCACCCAAAAAAGTATGAGGGGAATCAAACTATCATCTGGTAGCACCCCGGTCCTCAGAAGCAGTACATTTAGTAGCTAGTCAGACCTTGACAACCGCTCGATGCATTCTCTCGCTCCCTCTCTCTCTCTCTCTTTCCTTCTCTCTCTCTCTTATCTCTTTGCTCCGCCTCCTCCGGCCATACAGACTCAAGCAGCCAGAGGAGCTGCTCGTGATTTACGCAGCGGCACAAGGAGGAAAGGGGTGCGGCGACCATCGTCACAATGGCGGGTCTGCGCGAATTCTTCAAGGAGACGGTGGAGGAGAAGCTTCTGCAGTAAGCCAGCGATGCCGACTGCCAAGGCTTGACCCGATCCTCGTTTTCATCTCACAGCACCTGTCACAACCCCTCCTCCGCCCTCCCGCTTCCGATACGCCGCCTTGTGCAGACAAATGCCCGATGACGTGCTTCAGCAAACTACACCTGCCACACAGCTACTCGAGAAGCGCCGAGAACTCGAGCAAGTGGAACGGGCCCTTGCTACCCAGAAGGAGGTACAGACCCGCCTCCCGATCCAGCCCAGCGCTTGCGCGCAGCTACGCTTCCTCTGACTCGGCCGACTGATCTTGCATGGGATGCATCTGGGCTAGGACTTTCACGTGCGCATGGCCACCCTCGACCAGCGCAAGGCCGAGCTCGAACGCAAGGAATATCAACTCCAAGAATCACTTCTCAAATTTGACCGCTTCCTCAAGGAAAACGACGCCCGTCGTGAACGGGCCGAGCAGAAAGCGGCCAGTGAAAACGAGGTCGCACAAGCCCGCGAAGAGCAGGTGCAAAATCTGCGGGCCGAGCTGCGTAGCCTCCAGGAACGCAAAACACGCAACCGTGACATCCTGCAACGCTACAGCATCTTTGAAGCCTTCATGCAAACAGTCTTGGGCGAATATCCCGAGTACAACGAAGTCCAAGACGTCATCACTCGCTACAAAACCCTCGTCGCCACACAACAGGTCGGTTGTGGGGCCAAAGAGATGCGCCATGGCCCCTGGCGTCATACAGCGCTGCCCACTAGCCCCATCACCGAATACGCCATCACTTGACCTCATCACCCATGTCCCTGCTCCCCCAGGATCTACGTAGCCGCGACCGCAATAACCAGACAGAGATTGAGCGAGTGCGCCGAGAAATGGCCCGATACAAAGAAGCCCACCGCGTCAGCATGCTCGACTGTAGCAACAAGGTGGGACCACAATACCGCCGCCACGTCGCTCCGACGCGCGAGCTCCATTCTGCTCGATCTCGATCCTGTCTGTCCCACACCGCCGTGCTCATGCTGTCTTCCGGCCGTGCCACTCCCTACACGCTCAGCTGGCCACGCTCCGCACAGCCAAGGAAAGGGCCCATACGGAAACTCTCTACTGGGAGAATCAATTGTCTGCCGTGCAGGGGGCTGCCTCCAAGCGAACCCTGCTCTTGGGTCAAATCAAAATGTACGCTTATCCGCCCGCGCATCCTGGAACCTGCCCAACTCGTACATGGCTGGCTTTGACGCGGGAACCGCGATGCTGTCATGAACCTCCACGATAGGGCCACGGCCAATCTTTTTGCGCTCATTCAGAAAACGTCGCGCATCAAACAACACGAAACTGACCTCCTCGCCCAGCTTGACAAGGTGCCCGCCATGGCGCCCTGCATCTTTCTGACCCAACGCTGCCCTGGCCATCCATGCCCGTCCCTCGCCCGCCCAACCCTGCCTACTCATCAATCCGGACAATCTGACGCGAACACACACGCGCGCGCGCCACAGGTTCAGCATTACATTAATGATTTGCAAGATATCACGAGCGACTTCCAACGCGAGCTCAAGGAGCAGCAATCCAGCTTTCGAGTTCCGGCAAGCGCAGGTAAAAATCAACATGTTCATGACAAACAGCTCGAAGCTCAGACTTTGATTGCGAAAATTGTTGCTATTCTCGGCCCGCCCGTTCCTCCTCCACCCGGGGCTCATTTAGCGAGAAGGAGAAGAGGAAAATACGCATTGACAGTATAGGTTGATAGAAAGCACAACTGCAAGAAGGCGGGCAGGCATTGGCCACAAATGCCCCTCATCATCACAATAGCCTTGTTCACCACCATCCTGTTGCTCTTGATACGCCTTGTTCACCACCATCTTGTTGCTCTTGATGGACATTTTTATCTTGCAGGCACATCTTGATCTACCGACCAAGCAGGGTCAAAGAATGAGGCACATGGATGACCGACCGACTGGCTCTGCCGCGGTCTGTCTGATGCAGCCGCCACATGACTGCAAATCAAAATCAAGACGTGCTGAAGCGGCAACGCAGCATCAGCCCCGTTGCCCATCGTTCCGTCTCTCGGGCGCAGGTCGCCAACAATGAACGACACATGCCGCAATGGCGTCAAATTGAACCCAACGTCCCCCCCTCGCATCCCACTCGCCCGATGATTCTCCAACACTGGCATAGGTAACGTGTGGATCTGATTCCACCACACCTAAAGTAAGGCGGATGACGCATACCTGTGGAAGATGGTGTCGCGGCTGTCTCGGTCGGCTTGCCGAGGTTCAGCACCTGAAAGCGATGGAGAACTGCCTCCTCGTGTGATTCAAACCCAGCAAGATAGCCTCGGTTTTCTGGGTTCTCGTAGTAGGGGCGTTGTTTGTTGGGGGGTCGGGCACGACGAGGAATGGTGGTAAACTTTTCCGGCTTGAGAAGAGCCCGCAGGCCGACACGGTCGTAGTAAGCGCAGCTCACGATGCCGCCTGCCTTCTCAATCGCCTCAATGGCCGACTTGGAGGCGCGGCTGACCTCGATGCGCACAGGCAGGTCAAAATCTGCTGACCCCTGCTCCAACAGAACAACACCAGCAACGACACGAGAAGAGTCAGAACCAAGACAAGACCAGGCCAACAAGCTGAAGGGACACCCAAAAAAAAAAAAAGCCATGGGAAGACATCATGGTCAAATTGACCAGGAAACCGAGACACACCTCGCCCAAAAGCTTGACGCCGTTTTGAATCTTATCGATAGCGCCGCTCTTCCACAGTGTGTGCATATCAATGGGCTGGCTCGCATCAATCTTGCCGCGGGCGATAAAGTCTTTGAGCTTGCTCAAATTGATGGTTTGATACTCCACAGAAAACCTGTCAATGACGACGCAATGATGTGTGGCGAGCACGAAATGCAAAAGCATTCAGTTGAGACCAGCGCTTTTGAAGTTGCCTCAGCAGACAGCAAGGCTATGTCTCCGCGCCAGCCCCCTTCATTCAAACAAGCGAAAGAGCGCGCGCGCGCGTATGCGCATGCCTCCGGCGCGTCCTCGCTTCTGCTGTCGTGGCGAAACAGCCCGTAGGCTGGCCACTGTTGGGCAAGCCGGCTTGACGCGCCCTTGGGAGGCTCACTTACGGATTTTTGAAGCCATGTTTGGGCTGGCGGCGATAAAAGGGGGTCTGACCACCCTCAAAACCCAGGCGCACGGTACCGTTGTGCTGACCATAACCTTTGTGACCCCGACCGGCGGTTTTACCACGTCGTGACGACCGGCCACGACCCACCCGGATCGCCTGTGCGCACAAGGGGGTGACTGTAACTGGCCAATTCACACACTCACACACACACACACACACAAAAGGAAAAAATAGAAAGAACGAAAGCAAGACAACACCCCAAAGCTTTTGCACCAGGTCTAACGTACCTGCTTGGTGGCCCCGGGCAGGTTCTTGAGGGTGTGCAGCTTGATACGCACGCCGACCTCGGCCATCTCGAACGGACACCGAGAAGAAAAAAAGAAAAGAGAGAGAGAGAGAGAGAGAGAGAGAGAGAGAGCGCAACTCGTGTCCTTGGGATATTCTCGATCCTAAACTTTAAGTTCCTTAAAATAAACTCGCTCGGGGCACTTAAGTGTAGCTTCTGTGGCACTTGTCCTACACACTCTGACAAACTTGAAGACCTCACCAACTTGATATCAGCTCAAGGAGATTTATGGCTTGAAAATAATACAAAATGTGCTGAAGCGGCCAGACAAAGGCAAAGGCCTCAAGGGCGCCTGCATCGCCGGCTGCTTCATTTCTCGATTGTCTGGCTCACGTTCGGCGGTGCAGTGCGGGGGTGCTTTGTTCACGGTCTCGGTCTCAACGTTGGTGATTGGTGGTTGCTGTTGTTGCGAGGAGACACAAGTCTGTTTGCTTCATCTTTATCATGCTTGGGTTCGGTGCCAAGGGCGGTGAAGGCCGCTGCTTCCGCTTCTGGAATGAGTTTGTGACCTGCGTTCAGGTATGCGCGCTCGCTCAATTTGGATCAAGATTTGCCGCTGCTGTCGCCTGCACGGGTTGTCAGGCAATCGAGATGTCCTCTCATGTGTATTGTGCTCTCTTCAGGCCCAGGGCGTTGAGTCGGCCGACTGCTTCAAGGCGCGTCAGGACTACAAGGAGTGCCTGCACCATCGCAAAGAGGTTTGTTGCCCGCTCTCCCTCTTTGCTCGCGTACACGGGTCAGGATGTTTTGCGGAAACGGCTCTTTGTCCCGGGGCTGGTTGTCACGCTCCTACCCTGTGCCCTCTCTTGGCAGTACACCCACATGTCCAAGGTGATGCAGGAGTTTAAGAAGCAGAGCAAGGATGGCACTCTCGACCCCGAGGTCCAGAGGTTACTGACAACCGACCTGAAGTACCAGCAATAAGACAGCTCTTAGGTCCCTGTACGCTTCACACCTCTTCAATTTGAGCCAGCTCCTCTCCTACCGAGTTTCCTCTATCCCCCGTATATCTGTGCGCTGGCCTGCTATCCCGACGTCTACCGCCTTACCGCCGCTTTTTTTGGAGCAAGCGGCTCCGGTGCACCATTGGTTTTGGTGGCTTTAGCTCTCCGCTCCTCACGATGTTCCCACTCTCCTTTTTTCTGTCCTTTTGAAATTTTAACAAACGAACGAGCAAATCATCACGCTGCTCCCCGATGTTCGCGCCTCCCAACACCGCCGCTTCCCTCCTCCTTGACCAGCGCTCCACGGCACTCTGACACTTGGTACCCTCTACACGATCTGACATTTCGACCAGTACCACAATGGGGGTTGTTGACAATTAGACTAGCACACACACACTCTCTCTCTCTCTCTGCATCGACACGATCGCGCCCCCGCCCTTCCCGGGTGACTGCCGCCAACACCCTGCCCGCAGTCTCGGCCTGGCCCTGGGTTTAGCCCTGACCTATTCATGTGGTTGGATCTTGCTGGATCGGGCAGGTGGGGTCGGCTTCAGTGGCTTCACCACACCAATCCATGCACGCACGCCTCCCAGCACCCATCAATGTCCCATTCAGCCAAGCGCTTGTATCCACAAGGCTTGATCCCTCGCGCCTGCACTATCCTGCTAGCACGCGCACACACCTCATAAAATCCCACATGCCCTGCATCTAAACGAACAACTATCAAGTGCGCAGAGGCCGCTCCTGTTCAGATGGAGCAGCGCCGCTTGCTCTTCGCTCTGCTAAGCCTTCTATGGCTCCTAGAAGCAGCGGGTGGGTGTGGTCTATGATGGATCTCAAGCCCCTGCTTCATGCCCCGCCTGGGTGCGACTGACCTGCCCTCTATCTTGCCGCCACATCAACAGGCAACGCATGCAGCCCCAGCCTTTGTGCTGATGACGCCGATCAGGTTTGCCTGCAGCTGGTGGCGGGCAATGCCTCATCGTGCCTTTGCGCCGCCAGCTACAGCAACGCCAGTGGTGAGACGATCTCCACCCGGTTTGATCCCCGTTTTAGTTCATCGTCGTGTGAAACCCACATGCAGCACTCGATCTCAGCCCTCTCTCTTGCTGCTGGCTTGCTCCCCATCCTGCCCAGTTGAGTCGCCCGGATGCCGACTCGTCACTGATTGCGCATCAGGTGGTCATCTCATCTGCGCTGAGCGTGGAACAGAGTGCGCTGATGACAGCGGCGATGAGGATGATGCAAAGTCAGGTACACATGCGAAATGGACCTGTGCAAGCTCAGGTGTGCCGCGCCTCCAGTTCGCACCACTCCATATCATGTAAATGAGTGCCTTCAAGCATGCTCAAGCACCACCTTTTGGCCCCGCCCCATGGGGTTGCGATATCACATCTACCCGATAGATGCAAGCAACTATACGCCCATCCTGGTGGGCGTGGGCGTAGTCGCCCTCTGTCTGCTTCTAGTTCTTTTGTTCATCATTCTCCACCGCCGACCCCGCGCCACCCCATCATCCCAACGACGAGCCCGCCAAGATGCCCAGGTTTGGTCGCCTGGTTGCTTTTTACCATTCCACACACGTGCCATCAACCAGTGCTGACTCATCCGTTCCCCGTGCCCGCGACGACTACAGAATGATTTTGACAACGACTGGCAAGCCTGGCCCTCCACGCCCAAACTCAAGCGTGCCACTTCACAGCGCACCAGCTGTACTTGGTTGCTCCCCCAAGGTATTGTGCCGGCCAACCTCGCTATTGAAGTTCAGTGTGGGGCAGGATTCTCACCCGTAACGACTGTGTTCTGCCTGGTATAACAGAGAGATCGCCAATGACCGAAGGTTTGGACAACACCGTAACCACTGAATTGACTGTAGCTGAGGAGGAGGGGACTCCGTTTTTTGATGGGAATGATCAGCCGCATCTGGGCCGTGAGGGTCGTAGCGAGAATCCCCTGGCCCGAATCATGCTCAATTGGAGCAGCCATGAGCAGAAGCCAACAAACATACCTGGCCCCCTTGACACTATCAGCCGCTCCAGCTTCAGTGTTTCATTGTGTGGAGATGATGACGCGCAAGTGGGCAATGATGTGGATGCCCATGCCCTGTGGCTGGACAGCATCAGCCAAACCAGCCTGCCCCTCGCCACCCTTGAGCCCCCCGTAGCCGACCAGACCGATCTAGACTTTGACATTGACATTGATGCAGTCGACTCGGAGGATGAGCTCTTGATGCTCGAGGCTCGCCGCGAGCTGGGAGAGCTGACGGTCCGACTTCAACAACAAGCCCAGCAAGTTCCCATGCCGACAACCTTCAACCCCATGGCTAGCGGCTTTCATCCTTTTGCTATAGCCTCTCCCTTGGCAGACAACCCATCTCGATCCCGACCCCGACCGCCACCTGGAGAAACCATAACAGTCTTTGGCAACACCTTCACGTGGCTTTAGTCCTTTCCAGACTCCCAAGAATCTGGTTCGCCAGCAATGGTCGGGCGACTCGTGCTGACTCGATTTCCGTCTTTTCTCCCCAACTTCAAGGAGGAGTTGCTTCCAGTTTTACGCGAAATTAAATTTTTTTTTTTACGTCTTGATTATTTTTACTTCTCCGATTTCTGGCCCATTGCACAAGCAACTGCAGGTCGTCGAGGGAGGTAGAGCAAAGTGGCGATTTCACACAAAGCTAGTCGCAGGTGCGAAACAGCCCCAATACAAATCAATCAGAAAAAGGAAATGTTGTTCGGATTTTGATTTGAGTATTCTTTCTTTTCTTGTTAAAATTCAACAAAGCACGTTCGCGTCTAATCCGTGCCCCGTTCTCCCACGCACTTGGACACGCCGCCTCAGCACATACGCCGCGGAGCCTGACAAAGAACAACCCGTTTTTTACAGCAAAAAGGACAGCAAGGTCTATATGGCACCATTCTTTTCCCCAAGCGCGAGCCTTGTTGGTATGAACACAATGATCCGATTCGACAGAGGCGAAACGAAAACACTTGACATCTCGATTTCAATCAGAACGGGCCCAGGTAGGACGCTTGTGGCCAGGATACAAAAAGTTAATTCTCCGACCCACCGTCTGTGCCAACAGCCGGCACCACCGCGTTGTAATGTGCACCCAGGCTGAACTGGTGTCGGTGATAGCTGTCCATAATAAAGGCAGTTTGGTGTTCATGAGGTACTTTCAGGTTCCCAACCCAGGGTACAGCTCCCACAGACGCACCTCAACAAAATCGGGCTCTGCCCGTCCTTTGCGTCGCCAATCTCCTGAGGCTGACCTGGCACTTGAAAAACCTACGGCAAGGTGGTAACCGACACAAGGTGCAACAAACATCAGGGAATGTGTTATCAAGTGCGCCTTCTTGTGCCAATTTCGTGTTTCGCTATGTCGTTGCTTCATACCTTGATCGGGCGCTTCAACAAGCGAGACAAGGCCAAGAGCTAGAGCAGGACAGCAGACGTGTTTTTTAAGGGCACCGGGGCACAAGACTCGTGACATCCATTTGAAAACAAAGAGGAGTGTCGTAGTCCAGTATATCATGTATGTACATGCATGATATACTGGACTACGACAACAGCGGTAGACCTACTGCTTACCTCACAGTGGCCACCCCACTTGCCCGGTTGTGCCATTGCGTCACAGTAAGAAGCATATTCGTCTAGGATCGGCTGCCGAGGTGAGAGAAAGCACTCCAACAGGCAACCGGCCAAGGAGACAGCGGCAAGAGGCATGTGGGTGCACATATACACACCGTCATCTAGCACGTTGCCCTCTTCGTTGGTCAAAAAAGGCTGAAAGTCAGCCTTGTTTTCCCGCATCAAGGAGGCCATGTGCTCACGCAACACCTGGGGGTCCTGTTCTTGCCAACAGAGGGAGAAAGTTTTGTCACAAAGTCGAGCATACCATGGCTGTGCTAGTCCACATCACAAGTCACAGGAGCCAAGCAGCACAATGTGCACCCACCTCTTGGTCGGCGGCGTGCGTGACGGCGCGAAACATGCTGGGATTCGTAAGATTCGACATGGATCACCGGGCGTGAGCACTCACCAGAGCACCAAGTGCCAGGGGCAGTTTCTCTGGGTGCCAAGATGCATGCTGCAAAACAAACCAGTTTCCATCGGGCCGGACTGGCAAGACACAGAGCGATAACGGTCGAAGCAGTTCGGCCAAAGCAGCATCCTCCATCTGGACAATCACAAGGTGTCAGGCGTTGTGACCCGGTGGCGCTGAGTGGTGAGTGGTGCCAACACGGCGGAGGTAAAACTTACTTCTGCACGGGTTGTACCAGGGGCCGCTTCACCGTCCTGAATCCGCTTGGCCCGCTCCCGTTCCTCCTGCTCCTTCTTCTCGCGTCGCCGTTGGGCCTTGGATTTTTTTCCCCCGTCATCATTGGCATCTTGAACTGAAAGCAACAGGCCGGTTACAGAAGCCCATTGCATGAGGCTATACGGGCATTGCTCCATATTGCTGTGGAAGGCCACGGTCACGCACCAACTGTCGTAGGGTCTGCTTCCCTTGAGGTAGAGGCTTCGACCGGTGTTGTCCCGTCTGCCGGCGCGTCGGAGCCACCGCCCAACAGAAAGTCGGCAATCTCAGCCTGCTGGCGATCATTCAAATCACCCTCAAGTTTGCTGATTTGGGCATCAACCTAAGGTTCGACAGCCATGTGCATGACAAGTTGGCCACGAGCGCGACCGCCCACTTGTGCACATGGCATGACAATGCAGGCCAAGGCACGCGTCGCGAAAAGCAATGACCAACCTCTTTTTTCTTCTTCTTGTCCCCCTTGGGCACGGACTTTTTGAGTGCCATGACTTGGCTTTGGAGCTCTTTCTTCTCCCGGCGATGCCGGCTCTCTAGCTCATCCATGCTGCACGGTTGGGAAGGCTCCTGCGCTGCGATGCGTTGCGAAAAATGATTACAAAAAAAAAAAAAAAAAAAACAGGTGGAGAAATCATAAAACTTTTTTTCTTGAAACCTGATCTCTGCCTTTGAATCCGATTGATTAATTGACAGTGGGTGGATGTGCGCAACGTGGGATTATGTGGTGTCGGACACAAAAGTCAGTCATCAATGGATTTCAATGATAGAATATAGGTTGGCAAGGAGGCGAATGGATCCCGGGCTAAGTCAACGCTCAAGGGTGAGGCGATCCGCAGGCGGCACAAGTGCTGCGGCTCGCGTCGTTGAGCAACGTGCAGACCTGGCACGACCATTGGGAGGCGCTGGCCGCAGATGATTGTGGCCCGGCATGGACTGCGAGTCAAATCAACCAATCAAACAAACGCAAAGGAGAGAGGGCATGAGATTCTGGGACTACAAGGATATCCCACGGCTGCCTTGGTTTGCCAACAACCGAAGAACGAAGAAAGGTGCAAAGTCGGTTCAAGCCTGTAGGTCGCACCTGACTCAGAGGCGAGCATCTTGATGGTTTGCCAGTGTGGGTTGTTGTCAGCCCACTGCTGCACGACGGCCGAGTCGCGAGTGGCCATGGCTTGAGCCAACGGAATCAAAGAGTCCTGGTGCGAGAAAATTAAAAAAGCGGGGTATCGAGGTGGGGCAGGACGTGTCACATGCATGATTGCACAGGCGACTGGCACAAGCGGGCAATGGCAATGGGGGCATACCTGGAGCTCATTACACATGGAGTCCGTGGCCAGAAAGAAGAGCAAGTGAAAGTCACGTAGCTGTCAACGCGCGGACGGCAACAGGCAAGCCAAGCATGCGAATATCGTTAGAACCCCCCGTATGATGGGACAGTGTGGCTGAAAAAGATGATCATGCAAACCCAAAGTTACAGTGCAGCCTTGGTGATGCCACGTTTTAAAACCAAGGTAAAACCCTTGCTCACAGTCGTGAAGGAGAGCAACCAAAACGAGAACACACGATTCAAACATGACCAAAAAACACTCTTGAACGGACCAGATTACCGTCACGGGCGCCGCCCGCGGCAAAATACCGCCCAAGTGCTTGCATGTTTTGACCCTCGCCGATGGCTTCACGATGCTCAATCGGAAAAGGGGCCGAAGGATTGTTGACAAAGGTCCCTTGGCCAGTACCCGCACCGGCCTCCATGTCCACGAATAGGTATTCGACGGGAAAGACAGGGTTGGCTGGTGTCTTAATCTGGTTGCCGTATTTATCCTTCTCCACGTAAAAGATATCTACCATTGTAAGCCATGAAAACCCAATCCATGAAAACCCAAATCAAACACGAACAAGAACAGAAAAGACAGCAGGACACACGTGTATCCGGTGGCAGCAGCCTTGCTGCTCCACGGGCTCACAGGTTCAGGGTGACACGAACCTGGTACATAAACTTCATCTGTACGCGGCTTGACAGCCATCATGTCAGCCCGGTCTGTCGGGCGCAGAATGTCATCTATATGTCGATATGGGTGGGTAAGCCATGTCAGCTGGAGGCACAGGGACGCAGGAGAGGGCAGGTCGTGGACACGATGGCTCGAGCTTGTATGGTGCGGCACCTGACTGCCTAACTCATTGGGGCATACATCAACACGCACCTCGGGTCAAGGCCATGGCTTGTGTGGAGACCTGGTAGGCCTTTGGCGAAATCATATTGGTGTCGTCGCCGGAAACAACAACAGTCACAAACTTGGAGCCGTGAAAGCCCGTGTCGTTGTAGCGTAGCGGCACAGGGTTGGGATACGATTGCTGAAACCTACACCCACAAAAAAAAGTTCAGACCGTGAATGTTGCAGATGACAAACAAGGTATGGTAGTTGAATCACACTTCAAGCAAGGCATGGCTCACATGGCTGCGGTCAAAATTTCAGGGGCTGTCAACACGGTTGTGTCGTCATCGGGCTCATGTGTCACGTAGCGTTTGTGCTTGACGGTACCAGCAGCCAAGTCCTCGGCTTCGAGGTCCGTGAAAATCCAGCCGACGCGCTGCAGTCCCAGGGCAGCGGCCATCTGCTCGACCAGCATTTGGTGTTCGTCATCTTGCAGTTCTAGTCCATCTGCAGTGCCCACCTAGACAACGTGAACAAACAAACAACAACAACAACAACGACGACGACGATGACGACACACACACAAAGAACAAGAAACAAGAAACAAAACCAGAGGAACATGAGAAGAGGGGGGGGATGGATACGAGAACATTATCACATTGCGAGACAGAGGAGCATCACGGAGCGAGCGAGCGAGGAGGCCGGTACCCATAACAAACCTGTGGCGGTTCGTAGATGGCAGCTACGACAGCTTGGATACCAAGCGGCACTTGTTCATACGGCGCATACCGACCATACAGGTAGCCAACCCGTTGGGCGCCGGTTTTGCGATAAGGCTCCAGGAAGCGATTGAGGATGTCGGGTGTTTCAAACTGAACATAATCGACATGGCGGTATTCCTTATTACCAGCAACGCCCATGGACGTGCATTGGGTAGTCAAATCACCACACAAATAATCCAAAGCGGCGAGATGTGAGTAGACAGTATGTAATTCAAGCCAAAAGCGCGAGAAAGGCTATATAAGTACCTGTCGCTGCAGGGTGACAGCACTCGGTTGACACTTGCTGCAGATGCCCCGCGGGTAAGGTGGGTGGTCTTTGCAGGGCTTGAGCGTGCATTGCAGGTCCTCAAGCTTGCTAAGGCGTCCCCTATGGGTGAATGGGAGAACGAATGGAGGGCCAAGGCAAGGGTGGGTCAGTGTCTGTTTCTCAGGGTTGTGACGCCTGCGTGCAGGTCGAGCGGGGTCATGCAAGGCGTTTGCAAGGTCGCACAGGGACGTACTTGTCGGCCCCACTGTCGAGGCGACGAAGAAAGCTGTGGAAGGACAAGAATTTGATGGGTGGGTCGCGACCCTGGAGAACCTGCGGGTCGAAGGGCTCCAGCGGCGCACAGTGGATGCATTGTCCCCCGGGGCCGTGGTGACACCTAGCAGTCGTGGTTGAACCGCGGCAGGTAACAGCATGTTGTACCGGTCAGGTTGCGGGGGGTGGACAGGGGTCGGGGGAGGTGGGTTTGAGGGTTGTTCATGGTCCAGGGGCAGGACAAACATGTGCGAATCGAGTGACCGGGGAACTTGGCCTTTTTCCTTGAAGAGGTGACGGTCAACCTCATCAAGGGTTGGGGCCACGGCCTCAGCGCCCTGCTCGTTGGCGCCTTGTTCTACACACCAGTCCGGAAGGCAGAGTTCAGATCAGGGCTCAAGAGTTGAATGGACGTGCGCACACCGTTCCTGTCTGGCGCTTTCCAGGACGAGGCGGAGTTTGTCGACTTTTCTGTTTGATGATTGCCATGAAACAATTGACCGCAGAAACGACAAAGATGGCAAGAGAAACGGCAACAGTCAGGTTACAGAGCAAAGCGTGGGGTCGGGGCTAGCCTGGCGTGAAGAAGCAAAAACTGACCTGAGGTTGGTGTCCAAGAGGGTGGCGTCCAGGCCGTACGTCGGTAGAAGACTGCGTTGATCCTCAGTCACCAGCTGAAACGATTCGTTGACGCCAACCTCCTGAGCTACCTGGTGACAAGAACCAAGGGTGGTTGCAAGCAAAGAAAGGTCGGCACAAAAAGTCAGCTGCATCCGGGGTTCGGGACAAACGATTGGGGTGGCGGGTCCCGCAGATACCTTGCTCAGGAGGTCAGCAATGGTGGCGCTGGTTTCCACCTGAATGCGCTTCATGCCTTGCGGCGTCTGGACGCGCAGCATCAACATCTAGATCGGACATTGAATGCATATTCAGATTTAGCGGCATGGCGAGCTGATCAGGCGAGGCAGCGAGCAACCACGTACAACGTCGATTGGAGCGGAAGGTCGCGGCGACTTGGCTGTGGGCTCCAAGGTGGCGCGCGAGTCGCAGCGTGTGCGTGTACGCAGCGGTCTGTATCAGTCCACTGGTCCCCGGGTCGACTGGTCACGCGTTTCTTGTCAAGCCCAGAGGGCTGTCCGTCCGTCTATTCGTTCGCCCGTTCGCCTGTCCGTCGACCGCGAATGCAGTGTGTGTGTCTGTGTAGCAAATTGGCAAATATCTCTCTTTGACTACGAACATCCGGATGTATTGTTGTTGAAGTGATTCGTTGTGACACTGGAGTCCAACTATCATGCTTGGATTGCGGCTTGCATTTGACGTCCATGTCTCAGCACCAGGTTTCATGGGCACCCAATGGTCCTTATCAGCTGGAGGGCCAGTGGATCGAGTCCACTGCCCTTTGAGACGCTGTCTTAGGATGCGTCGACGGCGCTGCCACTACCTGACGTGGCTTGGTCCAAACCGGGCCACTGGTCTCAACAGGAGACTTGGAGACTCGGCGGCGAATGTACCTTAATATGTTGTTCAGCGGGATAGTTCGGTCACCTCCTTGAAAGTAACATATGTATTCCCTTTTTGTAACAACATATTGCTCTTGGGATTGAGGCAGGTGCGATTAATTGGCAGTCAGTATTTCGGGTCGTGCTCGGCCATTCTGTGTGAAGTACGTTTCAAATCAAGCACAGCAGAAGCGCTAAATTTTTGTGGATCAAACGAGGGTGCTCTTGTGTTCATACGCTTCCTGTGGATGCCGTAGCAGCCCAAAGACCAGAAAATTAGTTATTCTGAAATAAATCCCATTTCTTTTCCTTACAAAACTAACTTAGTTTTGATTCTCTAGGGCTACATGGCTCCGATTGGTATGTCAAATGGCAGCGCCATAAGACGAGTCAGCGAAGCAATGAGACAACTTGGTGGGTAGAGGCAGATGGACAAGACAAGTTCTGATTGATCAATGGTCATTCAAGGTTTATTTCGATTGACAAACGCCCGGGACGATTTTTTTTCCAAACACTTAGTAAGCAAGCTGTTTCCTTATTGGGTGGACTTAGACGATTTTCTCTTCTTGGGATGTGGTTGCCACTGCGCCACTCGTGCAAGGTGTGTTCGACGTGGAGACCGAGTTTGGACGATTGATGGGGAAGGGCTACGGTCCGCAGCGGCGCTTGAGGCTTCTCGTGTTCGCGCCTCGGTACTTGCATGTGATGTCTCTGATGCCGCCGTAGACGGCGTGGTGCACGGTGGACTTGTCACCTGAATGCAATGATGAAGACGAGGAATACAGATGAGAGTAGAGCCAACGAAGATGGAAGTACAAATGAGAATGAAGCGCACGATTCTCTCAGATACTCGTCGTGATCGCACGGAGCTACGCAGAGACCGGGAAGACGTACCAAGTGGCTGACATCGCCTCCAAAAGGCACACGGCTCAAGAGCTCCTGTTTTTTGCGCTGCCTTGCCGCCGTGCGACTCAAGGGGCTTTGACGCTTGGTGTTCTGCGCGTGGTGCGTTTCCGTGGGACCGAGCAAAAGACCGCTGCTTAGATTGGTAGTCAAGTCGGGATTGGGCGTCTTTGCTATGGCATCAGCATCTGGACAGTTGAAGGCGTTGGTGTTGGTTTGCAGCAAGGTCACGCGGGCATCGGTGGATGACGCGATTGAAGCGGCAATGTCTGAGGGAGGGACGACTGAAGCAGAGGCGACTGGAACAGGGTTGACTGAGGCAGGTGCAGTGGAGGTAAAAGTGGCGAGGGCAAGGTTGGAGGTTGTCCCAGCGGCCGGCGGTTCCGGCACGGCCACAGCAGTCTGGGTGGTACTGGCTGAGAGGGCGGCAAAAAAATTATTGGCAGAGTCTTCTCCTGCCTCGAGCTCTTCACGCGCCAAAGGCTGCACCAGGGTCTGCGCAGCCGAATCAGCTCCTTCGCCGCCGTTGGGCGAGTGTTCCTGATGGGGAGGATCGATAGGGCAAAAGGGCGCAAACTCATCATAGTCGTCAACGCTATCGTCGACATCGCTATCGTCGTCAACGCATCGTCGACATCGC